ATTTGAAGTTTTCCAACGAGACACAGTGTAACACAGTAATCGATTCATCTTTATTTAACATCTGTAAACAAGTAATGTAATGACTCACTGTGTTACACTATGTCATTTGTATCTCTTGGAAAGTATTCAAATAGCATTTTCCACTGGGAAGACTAGTGCGATACTGATATAATTGAGTGCAAATTTTACATATTTTTTTTTAGCATTAATAAATAATTCAATCCTTTGAAGGTAATGAAGTTACTGTAACAACAGAGAATATGTAGACAGTTTAATAAGCTAGTGATATATTTTACCTTTTTTTTTTAAATTCAACTTATTTTTTAAGTCTTCTTTTAGAAAGTCATTGGCTTATCAAACAGTCCACATATGTAATTAAAAGGGTCAAATTATTCAACACTATAAATATATAAATTAATTTTTGTATTCAATTGCATTCAGTGTATACCAGTGTTGCATTAGTTTTTCCAATGTAAACGCTAAAAATGCCATTGTAGATATTTCCGAATAATCCACGTGCGCAGTCAAAGGGTTGATATTTTTCAATAACACCTTGATAATAAATCTAAATTTTTTAAAATGCTTGTAGAGGATAATTATAATCTAACATAAAATTTTGAATGAATAGTTACGTAACAATGTAAGAAAGCGTCATTCAATGCATGATCGTGAAAATACAGTCTTATTTAATCTCATTCAACGATATATCCTATCATTATAATAATAAAAATTATGTATATACACGATAAAACTCAGAATTCGCTGGCAAGTGTTTACTTTCGAGAAGCGATTTAAGAAACTTTCCTTGTCCACGACGGAAGAATTTGTGCGTCATTAAATTAGGGTCAAATCGATCCTTAAAATCTGTTCAATCACGATATTATAATTTATAATAAAAAAATTTCCACAGAATTTTCTCTATTAGCTGACAGAAACATGCGAGAAGACGTGAATTCCTTTACCTGTAACATTTTTTTCATTTATCGAAATTACATCAGAATTTGACTGTAGAACGGAGAAGCGTGAAATCAATTTGACAAATCGCGCAATGCGACTTTATTCTCAGTGCGACAATGACGACAGGATAATACACAATGCGATTTCACAACGTTATTTTCGGACACGCTTGGCATGACACGAGGCACTGTCTTTTTTCACTTTTCCTCACCCCTCCGTCCTAAGAACGCTTCCTCTTTCTCGTTTGTAGCAAGGGACGGAAAACCGAAGAAATTAAATTCATCGAATATTCGAGAAAGATCTGCCAGTAGGCCTTGATTTAAAGTCTGCGCAATTAGTTCCTACGATCACCACGAGGGAGAGAAAGGGAGAAAAGATATCCGAACCGTAACGTTCGCCGAAAAGATCCACAAAGAGAGAAAGAGACGGAATGTAAAGAAGAGGAAACAAAGAGTGGGGAACGTATTAACGTGGTCTAGAAAACCGGTATTACCGTCATGGGTTCGGTTCTTGTGTGGACACGGAAACGATCTCTCTCTCCTATTTCCGATAACGGCAGCGATAATCGCGGCGAGTAGGATGCATTTTTTTTTTTTGGCGTCTATCCGTTATCGCGTCGTGGAATCGTCGGCGAGGCAACCGCCGGTTTTCGACCGGCGGTCGCCGGCCGGCAACAACGCGTGGTCTGTTGTCATCGCCTATTCCGAAGCGTGGCGGACGACGCCGCGCGGCGTCCCTCCTCCCCCCCCGCCACGGCGTCACCTCCAAATTTAAATACGCAATTCAAGAGTTGCTCTCCCCGGATTCCCGGCAACAACCAACTGCGAAGGGGAACACGAGCGCGCCGCGTGCAACGTACCTCGCAGAATGTGTATCTCATCTCTCGTTCACGTCTTGTGTGTCCCGTCCTCACGTTCGAGAAGTAACGGTGCGCCCAGAGCGACGATATATCTGGTGTAAAAGCCGACGATTGCCACGCGAGAAACACGATCCTAAGCCCACACCAGGAAAACTCGAACCGAGAGAGACTGTAGACGCGCACTCGCAAACCATACGAAAACTCGACAGGAACTGCCGGAAGCCCCTTCCACATGGCCGGCGACAATTGGCGGCACGCCGCCCAATTGGCCGCTCTGTGACGAATCAGCGACACGAGCGCGCCACGACGGCCAATCGCGACGCGGCGATGTGAACCCTCGACCATTGCGCGCTCGATTCGAATGTCGGTAACGGGATTACGCGGCATGCCAGAGACACATGATGGTACTTGTTAATTAACTGAAATTGCTGCCGATAACGATAATGGCGAACTGTTGTACTTTTGTATCTGGCGATTGCCTGAAATGTACACAGCAAATTAATTATCAACCCTTATCGCGCGTAAGCTCATTTCTCGTTTCTCAATGTTTAAAAATATATCGTCATTAACAGAATGGGCATAAATGATTTTCGTACAGCCAATAAAAATTCGTTTTTGCGTAATGAGTGTTTAATAGAAAAAGCAAAACTAAGAAAAAATGAAAATAAATAAAAAAATATGAAAAATAGACTATCAATTTACTCTTATCACACGTAAACACGTTTCTCAATGTTTAAAAATATCTTCATCGACGCAGAATGATGGAATAATTTTTCGAATAGCCAATAAAACATCGTCCGTTTTTGCACGATAATGATGAGTTTTTGCATGATAATGATGAGTGTTTAATAGAAAAAGTTAAAAAAAAATTAGAATTAAAAGCAGACTATATTAAAAACAGGTGTTATAGAAATGATTTTGTTTTAGCAAAAATGCAAACATATTTTAATAATCGTTGCCTCTATGTTTGCAAAATTGTATTTAAGATAATACGCGGAGCAATAAGAATCATCAGCTCATATATCACGTATTCTATTTAATATCAGAGTAATTAAACATTTTGTTTGTATTATATAAAATGAATAATTTTTTCCACTTTTTATCTTTTCAAATTAAAGATAGTATAATTTTCTAATATTTAAGTCATTTTGTTATTTCTCATTAATTTAATTAGCAGATAAATAATCTTTATTTGTCTTCTAACTTTTTTCATGATATATGCCACACTGATTATTATAATTGCTCTAAAACAATATTATCCATTTTTTTGTTATAAATAATCATGATTCAGAAGCTTTTCCTTCGTTTTCAGACATAATGAACAGTTAAAACATTGCTTATCTAATAATATAAAGATTTACGATGCCCAGTTTATGCTAACGAGACTCGTTCACCTGATATTCAACATTTCCGCTTATCGAGAAAGCGTATTAATAGCGTAAACGGTGCTTTTTATTACCCTCTTATTGAACATCAATTTCCGTTTTTCGCAATGCTACCGATGCGGGTTAAAATCAATTTCAAAGTCAATTAGAGAAACAGGTTTTCTCGTACGGTATATTCTCTAACATATCCGCTACTTCCGTCAACTTGCTATCTTTCGAACTTCGATGTTCATTAGGCCTGTACATGAGTCACAATAATTAAACTCATTTCTCATTTAGCGAAACCGTACTGACCTCGATAACGATTTAAAAACTACGATTTTAGCGCCATCAACATTTTTAAAACTGCAGTTGATTACAGCTGTGCTTGGCACGGCGACATGGCATATAGGCCATTAATAAAGATAACGTATCTCCGTGACATAAAAAAAAAACTGGAGAAACGCGATAATTTATCTGCACGACATTTTACCGACAAGAAGATAGCAGCTTTGCTATAGACCGACTAATCTCGAATATTGTTTATCCATGTAAGATCACGGATGTAACGGATGATCGATGCTACAAGTGTTCGCTGTACTTCTGTTACTAAGGAGAGTAGAATGAGGAGGCCATTTGCGAATCATAAGTACGAAAAGCGGGTCATTACAGGATGTACTCTTTAGACCTCTTGTTTGTAACTCTTAATGACAGTATCATTATATTGTCGTTGCGCAGGTGTATTGTATATGGTAAAAAAAAAAAACTGCTCAAACGACAGTACAACGGTACTAACACTGCTGTTAAAAGTCACAGAATAGAGAGATCTTAGTCATGTAAATCATGTTGAATGCACCGTGAATTCAAATGCATTTCAATTTTACTCTTATGTGACGTATTTGCATATGTAAGAAACGTGATACGAAAACTATATGTAACACGCGTCTATCAAATAACTGCGTACCTTACAACAGACTTGCTTTTCATACTCTTAAAAAAAGCGATATTGTTAACAAGCGATACTGTTCACTTTGTTAGGCAAGAAATTTCTAAAGCTATGTTCCCATTGTAAATTTTAATAACGAAGCAATAAGAAACATCAAGAAACTTTTAATAACAAATGGTTTTTTTTTTTTAAATCTCAATAGAAAGTTTAGAATTTTTATCAATGTAATTTTATAGTTAACTCATGTAATTATTGATTAAGATTATATTGAAGAGGACTCAAAACGAACGGTTGGAACGTTACATTTTCTTTATTTATATGTTTTAGATAATAAGTTTTATGCATACAAATGTTTATTCGGTATTGGCTCGTATTGTTATTTCTGAAAAGTTTCTTGTTGTGTTGCAACAGCGGGAACATAGCTCAATGTTAAAAATATAGCGATCTCAGCTTTCGAAAAAATCGAAGATATTTTGCATCGTTTCTCAAAGAGACATAAAATACTTCGTACTGCGGTACGTATATAATAACTAGCGCAATTTTATCGCAGAGCATACGACGATAATTACATCACGTCATGCGACGGTTAATCCGCTGACATGTCGCTGACACATACATTTCTCGACTTCGTCCGTTTCATTCCTCTGTGACTTTCCGACATAATCGAAGATGGAATCTTCGAATCACTTTTCGCGAGAACGATCAAAACGCAAAGATAAGGCTCACTTTCTACGCAGGCCGAAAATATGAGCGGCGAACGAATTCGAGATGTAGTTCGTCAACGACACGAACAGATTGCTCACCGCGTGATAAGCGTAACCGTATACCAGCGCGGCGCACAGCCGAGCCCTTACAACGGACAAGTTGCACTTACTAGCAGCTTGCGGCGAGGGTGGCGACTCGTCATCGTCCACGACGGTATGCGTGCCAGCGGTCTCGATACGCGCGACGTTGTCATCGTCACCGTGGTCGCGCGGCGTTTCGTCGTCCGCGCCGCGAACGTCTTTATCATTCGGTCGGACGCGATTGTCTAGATCGTCGTCGTTTATTACCGAGTCCACCGGGTAGACGTTCGCGTTATCGCGGTTAGAATAATCGTTGTCGTTCCTGTCGTCGTCGTCGTTGTACTTCTCAATTTCCATCGACGGTTTCTCACTCTCCGGAGTGGGATCGAGCGACGACGATGCGGCGAGAGTCGGATAATTGTTGTCGTGCACGTCCTCGCCGGCGTCGACATCGGTCTCCGGACCTATGTCCGTGTAATCATATTCAGCGTCATCGTCGTTCCGGTGCTTGCCGTTCCTGGTCATATCGCACACGGAATTTTTCAGAAGCAAATCGAAATCGGGGCGATCCATGTCGTCGTCGATCAACTGTTTGATGTAGGCTGGTTTTACATCGAACTGATCATGATTCGACGGGATCGGATTATTCGGATCCATGTTGTTTAGTAATAGACCATTCGGTGCTTGATGCGTCAGGAGCGGATTCGAGCGCGAAGCGATCTCGATCGGCGACGTCAGGAACACTACGATTACCGTGATATTGTCCAGGGAACCCGCACGCTTAGCACTCTGCAGCAAAGCCTGATGCACGTGTTTCAGGTCGTCTGCAAAAATAAAACAACATTCGTCAAAATATATTTTTTTTTGCGTTAAAGGAATGTATGAGTTATGGGTTCTTGGGATCTACACTTTCTGTTGTTAGTTTTTTTAAAGAATTTTTCAAGTTTAAAACTGAAAAATTGTAGAACATAAAATTATTCCAAATCATATTTAAACCAATTTTAAGGTTGTCATAGAACTGTTCCAGTTATGGATTAATTACTATTATATCATATTAAGTATATTTGAAACCGTTGCGTGGTCTCATTTTTCAGCCTTCTACGAAATTTCGCGGAAACATTCCAGAGTAGACTTGACTCAGAAGAGGGCAAAAATCACTATTATATAAAATGTTTCTTACTTAACCGAACATTTAATTAGAATTGTTTCAACATTTGGTAACTTAGCAGACTCTATTTCAGTGCAGAAATATTTTTCAATGCGCTGTTCCGTAGACAATTAACTTATTGGCGTGAGTCATGGTAATAAAAGTACGGTTTATAGTCGGCAGAGTCAATGGCTCGTGAATAAATCGTGCTTCACGCGATCACGTTGAAGACCTTCGTATAGCATTGTAATATTGTTTCTTACAAAACACAAATTTATATAATTGCATAATCCGTTGAAAGATTGCAAAGACGATTTGCAGAATCATTTATTTTTATCTTTGTTACAAACTGGATGTAAGTGTAACACGATCGATTATCTTTTTCGGATTGCATTGAATCCACGGATTCTAACAATGTCTCTTGAATATTTAAATGTCTCGCAATGTCCAGATTTTACGGTACTTTTACCGAGTACTGCATTTACTTCTCCTAGTGAGAATACCACTTCCTGTCTCTCACACGCATGGATGTTCATAAATTTGAATGTTCCGTAATTCCAAATTACAGGACATTTCTTTACTACTGTTGCAGCACAAAGATGTATTTTGTATGAAAAAAACTGTTATGAATATAAATTATATATCATGTCTTATTTTTCATTAACTTTTTATTGTTATATTCTGTCTAAGAGAGAGAAAATCCAAGAAAATACTGAAACTGCTAGACATGTAAAGTCGGATTCAGATTAACTAAACGAGCAGGAAATAGGAATGAACAAGTTGCATCAATGAGTTCGAACTGCGTTGCTGATATTTCTGGCACCTTTCACATTCAATGAAGTAAGCTATTCATTCGCATTTGTTTGCTTAGTCTGGATCCGGCTTAATGCGTCATACTTATTTTTTTTTTGGAGCAAAATGCCTTTCTCAAACGGCATTTTTATTTCACATTCAGCGAAATAGTGATAGCAATTATAAAGCGACGACAAATATACAAGTTTTACATGTAGAATTAATACGTACAATTGAATACTTAAAAAGAAAACTTTAAGTCGTTTCCTCTAAGTTTAGACAAATTTTGCAATGCATCCATCACATATATGTGATGGCTGAAATTTACCTTCATTTTGGAACAAAAATTAGACCGATCTTTCTTTTTGTATTTTTGAATTTGCATATAAGATCTTTCCACACGTATACGCTTTTCGCGTATAAAATAGAAGGTTTCAAAGATTTGTTTCAAAGCAAATAATCTATTTGTTTCAAAGCATAAATCTATTCTTCTCATGATTGAAGGGCCAGTATAGCATTCCTAAAATTATTTTTTTAATAATTTCACTAAAAGCATGCAATGATGAACAATCGAATGAGCTGAATGTAGAAACAACTTTCTACATTTTTTTAAAAATTTAAAGGACCAACTTCCTCGTTCAGCTCAATCGGCGAAAAAAATTCTCATGCCTGTTTCTATCAATGTTTTATAGATTAATTTTAATTTCGATTTAACTTACTCTTTATCTTTTTTTAATTATTAAAACTAAAAGATGAATTAGTTGAACCAAGATTAAAATTAAACTAGATTAATAGGACCGAACATATTAATAAATTTTATGTTAATTTAATTTACATTATGTGATAAATCAGGACAATATCATCCCGCCTAGGGTTCTTTCAGGACACCTCTAAAGAGAGCTAAAAATCGGAATGTCTCGCAAAACTTGGAACATCCCGATTGGGATTTTAATCACCCTAATAGCATCAGTCATTCTCGAATAATGATTTAGAAGTGTGATTTCGTGATATCGCGCACGGCATACGGATATCGTGATTGCAGATTCGCCGAATCAGGGAAGGTACCAATGTGGCAATATATTGTGCGGCCCTGGTAGAAAGTACGTTGACCTACGCGCTATGCAGCCTATCGACGCCTGCGTAGTCCTCCCTCTCATCCGTCGCTCCTTCATCCTCCGCCTCACCCCTTCACCCTTCTCTCTCTCTCTCTCATTTCGTTTCTCCCCTTACCTCGTTTGCCGCTCACCTAACGCGCTCACCTCTCGTCTTCTCTTTCATTCTCTTGAATTCGCGCTCTAGTGACTTTATTACACCGCAGGAGCGTTCGCTCACCATCTGGGCGGAGGAGGGAGGGTGGAAGGATATTAATTTTCCATCGGTTCGTTTTTCGATGTATCCCCGCTACTAATGGTACTCATCCTCCGACAATATCGTGTTTCATCGCGAAGAAAATTCACATTGAAATTAACAAAATTCTTTTATTCGAAAAAAAAACCGAAATTCTGCATTTATTTCAATTAGAATTATAATACAATAAGATTTTGCTAGAAAATTCCGATTTGCTTTTTTCAACCAGAACTCCAATTAATGCAATCTCTCTTTTCCCATGTACAGGGAAGCCCTATAATCCTTTCACAGAGACAAATCTTTACATTAACGGCATAAACACCATCAACGCTAAGAGTCATTGGGGACATCCGGATATGGTGTGCTGGGTGACGCATTGGACGGCTATGGGGACGACCTATGTTCCATCGATCGATAATCGGATGTGTCCACAATGAATATGTACGAGCTGATGGCAGGTGCGATAATTGGCAGGTACCTATCCTCGACGAACACGTGCTCGCAAATCAAATCGTCGCGTTGCCTCGCTGCAGCGTAAAACAGAGAATTTCGTCCGTTTTTCGAGCAAGTTGGCATTGCGTAGAAAAAAGCGAAAGAAAACTTCATTACGCGCACCATCGATTGTTCGGGGATTGAACGAGCGCGAGTTGCATCGTTAACGCAAAGGGTGGGTGTAAACGAAGGCGAAAACGTGCGCAAATGATGTCAGCTACCGCCGCAGGACAACGATTATACCCTCTTTTTATCCTCGCCTGGCAAAACAATTGGGGGTTTTTTTTGACCTAGGTCTCTAATATTCTTCACGTTAAACCACAAAAAAATTGGACAGACATCGCTCATTTAAATCTCATTTTATTCCGTTTTTTATTTTCCCTATTCGATATTACACACTAAAAAAATACTAAATTTTAATAAATATTTGTTTAAATCGATCTAAGTAAATAATTACTAAATATATAGACATATATTTATTTGATACAAAAACCGTTAATTTAATTTAACTATCATTTTCTTATTGAATAAATATTTATTTACTGTAAGTTAATGTTTACTTAATATAATAGTATTTAAAAAAAATATGATATGCATATTAAGATTTAATAAATTTTTTCGGTATATATAAATATTTTTATTTCTTTATCGTTTTTATGCATAGGTATAGTATTTTTAGTATAAAAAAAAGGAAACAGTTTACAGCTACTATATAATATCGAATAAAGAGCTCATTATGACAGAGAAAAATGAACAAACATGGGCGTCCTTTGTGCGGCTGTCAAGCTTGCTGTTATATAGAGGGCCAATGAATTCTAATCACGTCTTTTTTTCATCTATTCAATGATGACAGCGGTGACTTAGCCAAGGTCACTTATAGCGACTGGTCGCATACATTGATAGTGAAGCTACGATAAGACCGATGAATGAAAGTCTCGTGCAAAGATAGCACGACGCACGCTACCTAACTCGAGGGGCTGTGCACGCACACATAACATAACAACATATCACAACGATCCCACATGGTGAGTTGAAGGATAGCCTTATAGCCCTAAGCGGCCGTATAGATAGCGTTAACACGCAATACGATAATCAAATCATGGATGTTTTATATCTTACGTTATATACTTGACAGAATCTCCCTAAGGGCTTCTTAAACATATCAAGGGAGTTTTTAATTGATCGAATTTAATCGTTAGTGATTTTCTTTCAAATTCAAGTTTCGGAAACGCGTGCAAATATAGCAGAACTAGAATACAATTTTAGTTTAAGGATTACAAATATATAATTACTTATTTATATAAACTATTAAATTAATTTGTACACTCTTTTTCTTAAAGGGGTAATTAAAACTTAAATGTCAATAATTTTTAGCAAAACAGCTTTCATACAATTTCCTATTAAAATCGATTTTACAGATGGATAAAATATTCATGAATTATGGGAAATGCGTGTAATATTCTTTGTCAAGTAAATGTCGATTGAAATAATTATATAATGATAATAACACAGGATGGCATGTAGGATTGACAAGTGCATTGACGTTGAGTGAATTTTCTAGAACGATTTTTTTAAGTGCCATAAGATCCTGTGAACAATAGAAGAAATATTAGGAATGCTATAATTATTAAATATTATAAATTAAAAAATTAGAAAATAAACATAGAAATATATCGCACAATAAATACAAATCAAATATATATATATATATATAAGACATAAATATATCTTTGGTGTATCTTATTTATTTGTATCCATTGTAAGTTACGTTTAATATCTATTTCTAATTCTTTTATTTGTAACATTTAATATTTATTTCTGTTCCTCTCATTGTACGCAGGACATTTAATGCATTCGTGATCCTACATTTTTCCTCGTAATTATAATTCAACTGCACGAACTCACTAACGAAGTCCATATATGAGAAATGCGCAATCGGTTCGTCGCCAATGCCATTTTTGAATCATTAATATCACCGTTAAGTACGCTGCTTGAATTAATAACATTCGAAATATTATGATTGAAATCGTCGCGAGAGAATCGCTT